TGATGAATGTGTATTAATTATCAAGCACTCAACAAGCTTATAATCAAGAATGAATATTCACTATCACAGATTCAATAACAGTTAAATATAGTTGAAAATATCTGATATCTATCAAAGATTAATCTTCTCTCAGAATATTAACAGATTTGTATAGATAAATTATCAGTACTGTGAACTGCATTTAATATATAATGAAGAAAGTTTAAATTTCTGACAATATCACTCAGTCTGATAAATGCACCTGTCATCTTTCAAATGATGATGAATACAATTCTTTATAAATAGAATGAAATCTTGTATCTTATATATCTGAATAACATTCTAGTCTTCTTAAACTTATATGATGAATATCTGAAGTATCTCAATGAAGTGCTTATAACTCTGACAGAGTATAAGCTTTATATCAAATCAATTAAGTATGTGTTTGAAATAAAAGAGTTGAAGTTTATAGAATATATAGTAAGTGATGACTGTATACACCTTATTTCAGAGAAATTGAATGTTATAATGAATTGACTGTAGCTGAGAAATGTACATTATATATAATAGTTTCTTGAGTTAATCTCATATTACTGCAGATTTATCAAGAATTTTGTATAAATATCTGCATCACTCTCAGATCTCTTAAGAGAAATGAATGCAAATCTGTAAAAGAAGAAGTTTTATTCAATTATCTGAAATACTGTATGTAAAGAGATCTTTCTCACACTGAGAAAATGTATCATAATATTCTCAGTGCTTATTCATCTAGATTGTGATAAACCTTTCTATATCAAGACAGATGCATTTGAATGAGCTATCAGAGATGCTCTTCTGCAGATGAGTAAGAATGACAAGCTGCATCTGATAGTGTATAATAATAGAAAACTATCAGACACTGAGCTCAATTACTTAGTGTATGAAAAGAAATTACTAGTGATTAAGTATATGCTGATATTATGAAATAGATATATCAATAACAGATATATAACAACAGTAATCATAGATTATGAAAGTCTTATCTATCTACAATTAATGATGAAACTCTTCAAATACTTAGTATGTTGAATCTCAGAGTTCTAAGTATACAATCTTCATATTAAATACTGAAAGAGATCAGATACTGTGATATCTAATGCAATCAGTTACAGATCTGATTTCATGAGTGAGAATTCTGTGAATCAGATATAAGAAAAGTTTGTGTTAAATATACTGAGAGAATGCAAGGAATCAGAATGAGTGAATATAACAATCTCTCACTTAAAGAATGATAAGATGTCAGATGATAAGTATCTTATAAATATAGTAGAAGAGATGCTTCTGAACTTCAAGCTGATAAAATTGAAAAATAATGTTATACTTTATCACAATCTAGAATATGCAGAAGCTCTCTATCTAGAACATTTATTTAAACATGACTTGATGACTTATATGCACAAGGAATTCAGTCACTTAGAAAGTTCTGAACTTATGAGTGTACTCAAATCAAGAGTGTACTGATCAAGCATGACTGAGAATATTCAGATATACACTCACAAGTGCCTGAATTACCAGGTTGTAAAAGAATCTAAGAAAGAGTTAGAATATGAGAAAGTACAACATCAGATAAAATATATAATATAACTGTTTGAATAATGAGAGATGAATCTCATAGACATATTATTATAAATATCAAATGAAAACTGTTGAATAATTCCTGTTATTGACTACACTACTGACTGACCAGTCATGAAAGCAGTTTCAGAGATGATAGAGAAGATGATGACAAAGTTTCTATATAATAAAATCTATATCAACTATGAAATAATGTATGAGATTCTAACTGATAACAGTGCAAATCTCATAGAAGAAGTAGTGAGGCATTTCATAAGCTAGTTACAGACAAGACATTGTAGAATAACATCATATCATTCATGAATAAACAGAAAGATAAAACACTTGAATAGAATTCTGAATAATATGCTGATGAAATATCTAGTGAGCAAGTCTACAAGATTATGAGATGAATATCTCAGTCAGACACTATTAGTCATGCGAATTTAGCAGCATGCAGTCTTCAAGCATTTATCATTCTATCTGTTGTATGAATTGCATCCGCGCATCTCAGAGAATGCTTTGAAAAAGATGAGGGAGAGAACAGTAGTTGTAAATACAACAGTCACAGCAGTTGCAGATGCAGCAGTCATGAATACAGAATCAAGATTGAAAGAAATCAGTCATGCATGTGTAAAAGCTAATGAGTTACTTCTGAACTGAGCAATTCAATTAAAAAGAATATAAGACTCACTAGTGAAGGAATTGAGTCTCAAGATAAGAATGTGAGTTCTCATATATAATGAGAGTTCTGAGAAGTTTCAATCTAGGTGATTTAAGCTCTATAAAATACTCAAATCACACTCTCTGAGAATATGTATATTGAAGAAATCAGAGAGACAGATCTTATGTAACTTAATAAATGATTCATATCTTATAAAAACAAAGATACAAGATCTGAGCAGATTATAATTATCTGCAGCACTATTATCACTGTTGAAAAAGAAGAGACTTATGATTGAAAAGTCTTGCAAAGTAAGAGAAATCATAGATGCTTATAAATCAGATAATCTTACTTATTTCAATCTTTTCACAATAATAAGAAAAGAATGAGAAGAAATGAAGAAATCAGATAAATATCACACTTTAATAAGTGATAAGACTGTAGCTGATTGTATGATAATGTGCTGCAGACAGTGAATGCAACACAGTAAAGAGTAATCTCAGAGCAGCAGACTTGCATGTGAATTAAATTACAGAAGAAAAAGGAATTCAGAGTTGAATTTAACTGTTTACATCAGTTCAATTATAGAGACAACAGAGAATGAAGTATCTGAAACATTCACAGACATATAAGACTAAGCTATCTTGATCTCTAAGAATACTCAGAGATGAGATGAGATTAGTTTTAATAAGCTGTTTACTGTAGTAGTCTGAGTAAGTGAAGAGAGACAGTATAATACACAAGACAGAATCACAAGAGATGAAAGCTGCTGAACCTACTCATCAAATACTGTATTATATAGAGGTTGTATAAGAGTAGTAGCTAGCAGACAAAGATAAAGTGTAAGAAGAGAAAAGAGATAATGAATAATGAATTGATTATCAACTGTAAGAATGAGCTGTAAAAAGACAAATGTTATTATACATATCTCATTTATTTTCATACATCACATGTTTAATCTATTTTCAACATTACATAATCTGAAAAACATCAAAAACAAAGAAAATCTCAAAACTTAAGATCTGTAAGAAATTTGAGAGCTGTAAGCTGCTCTTACAACAATATTATATACATCTCTGATTTCTCTATCACTCTGTGTACAATATTAATATTGTTTATTACAAGATTGACTGAAATGCTAATATAGAAATGTGTACATATATGTGTAGAAAAATTGAAGAAGAGTGCAGAATCTACAGAATCAGAAGTTAAGACAGAGAAAGTGAAGATGAAAGAAATGAAAGAAGAAGAAGATGCAGAACTGAATGAATAACAGCAGAAGTCACTCAGAGTCAAATACTTATAATCTGATATGTACACAATCTTTCTCACAGAGAAGAGAGAGAAAATAATAAGAGAAGCTTGAGAGTGAGAGAGAGTAGTCTCAGTAATATTATCATCTTTGATTAAAATGACCTCTGATGTCAGAGCAACTAAGAATCATTATTAGTGTATGAAAACTGCAAAATCAGAGATGAGAACAGTTATTAAATGAACACTCACTGATCTTAGAGTTATATACATAATTACAACACATACAAGACTTCTTAGAAAGAGAGAGAGAAACATGAGAAAATACAGAAAGCAGAATGCAGTATATAAACAGCTCATTTTCATGACAACATCTCAGACAAGATGTATCAGTCTCACACTTATAAGTGTAAAAGAGTATAATATTCACATTTTCATTGCTGAAAACATGAATATTTTTTGCCTGCATCACAAAGTCAGATAATAGATATTAGAGAATAGACTGATACAGATCTATTATCTCAAAGAAATTCATCAGAGTGAATGTACCAGCAATGTTAAACTTTATAATTATAAAAAGTTTCTTGATATCTGTGAATATCATGACTTTGTATATAATAAAACTCATAATGATTTTTTCTAAGAACAGGAAAATCAGTGTCAGAAAGAGAAGAGGAAAAAAGAAAAGACTTATAATCTTAACACTGTTGAGAAGAGAAGTGATTCTTCAGTATGAATAAATAATTATCTTATCATAAATACTTAAAATAAATATAATAATCAGTATCTGTAACTGAGCTTCAGATAGTTGTATCATACACTGTCTTCATATAATAAATTATTCTAGAGATCAGTAAAAAGAGCAGAAGTATATATACTAAGAAACATGATTCATCAAGTCTATATAACATCTTCTTGAAACAGAGAGAGCTGATAATGAAGACAGAAGTGACAGAGACAGAGAGAGCAGAAGTAGTGAGAGCAGAAGTAGTAGAAGTGAGAGTCATAACAACAGAGATAGCAGAAGCGGGAGAATCAGACACAGAGACAAGTGTAGAAGATTGAGAAGAAGCAGCAGAGAAAGAAACAGAGAGAATAGAGAGAGATGCAGAAGACTCAGTCATATATAACACAGACAATTTCTTCATTATCACATTCTTCAAGTTCTCAATTAATAATTCAATATTGAGATGTTCACTATCATCTGCAGATGCAGATCTGTCAACATATGAAGATTCTATACAAATTAAAATAAATATATCAGCATCTGCATTCACACATAATCAAAAAACACAATCAGATGCCTCCTGAGAAAAGAAGGTTGAGAATGTATAAGAAGATGAAGAAGATGTGTCATTTATAATAGTATATTCTGGCAATTGTTAGAAGATAAATAAGTCCTGGTAATATTTCACAATACATTACACTTACTGCTAATCAGTTCTTCTGAGTTCTTGAAGTAAACATACATTCTTTTAAGCTAGATGCATGTTTTTCTTTACAATTGAAGCATTTAAGCAGACACAGAATGCGCATTTTGAGTCTCTGAAACAAGAGATTGCAAACACATGAAAAAGTCCAACCGCTCCACCACGAACTCGCTCGATTTTTCGAATAAGACCCCGCCGATAGATCCATCGAATAGCCCTCGATCATACGAGCATTTTGACCCCATCGCCGACCGCATACCCCGTGTGGTGGTGGAGTTATCCAGCCAAACGTGAACCAGACATTGTTTGAAACTCCTGTGTGGGATTATCCCCCGTTCACCCCTACCACACCACAACCTCGGGCCAAATTGCCATACAAATTGTAAGGTGAAGAGACCAAGCCATATGCGCCAATCTTCTTGATTTTGGAAGATCCCTGATCTGTAATTGTGGAGATATCTGAGGAGCAACCTCCGCGAAAACCCTGTCCATCTTTGATGTTCCAAAACATCAACGCCAAGTCCCACCCTTGTACCGCCCTTCCCAATCTGGCCCATCCCCGGCAGAAAAATACAAAAAGATACCTCAGCAATAATATCAAGCATATAATCAATGGACACATCTGAAGTGCAACCTCCGCGAAAACCCTGTCTGTCTTCAGTGTATCAAGACATCAATGCCAAGTCCCACCCTTGTACCACCCCTCCCAATCTGGCCAATCCCCGGCAGAAAAATACAAAAAGATACCTTGGCAACAGTATTTGATACATAACCAGCAGACAACGAGTCAACGGCACAACAACTATAAAATCAGTATACTTCAAGGTCTGACTGAGCCTTTGATCCCTGCACAGTGAGATATATTAAATCTAGTTTTAATACCTTAATATTCAATAGATTCTGCAAGGGATTGAGAACAGCAACACTAGTGTAAGTAGACTGGCCGCCGGGACCATGAATTTCACATTTGGTCCCATTTGATCTGATCTCATACATTTCTTGGTGTGAATCCCGCTGGGACTAGTCATTAAAAAAATATGCAAAGTGACTATATATCAGATCTTAAAATGAAACCATGACATGAAAAAAATGAGAAAGTGGTCTCATTTAATCTCATTTAGTCCCATTCTTGACATAAAGTTACTATTTTTAGACATTTTAAGGTTTTTTTTAGACTATTTTTAATTTTTTAAAAAGTAACACTTTTTGATAATGCTCAAATGAGATTTAAAGTCATTTAAAGCAATAAAAATAATTTAAATTGAGAAGTGAAAATCATGATCTCATTTGGAAAATGTGATAAGAGTAGACAGTAAGTCTCACTGAGACAGTATAAAACTACTATCTAATGTTAAAACTGTGTAATGGGATCAGTCAAATTGATAATGAGACTATCAAAAAATCTGGCCCTGGTCCCAGACACGGTCACACGGTCAGTCTAAGTGTAAGAGGCCTACACTGAATAGATCAGTATAATATATAGGTCTTATAATACAAAAGTGGAAAATGTTAGAGAAGGAAAGAAAGAGAAAGTGCAGGAATCAGTAATCAGAGTGAATATTTATACATGTACATAGTGAAGCTTTGAGATGAAAGAATAGAGACTCTGTATATATGATAAAGCTTCAGAGCAGAAGAATAGAAATTTCATGAATTTTTCAGCTGAGAATTGATGACTGAGAATTGAATCTTTCAGTGAAATCTGTGAAGTGTAATGAAATGGTCTATATAATTGATCAGACACAGCTCATCACATTAGCTTCTCTTTTTCAGAAGTGATATGAGGTCATGAGCATGCAGTTTTCATCAGTCAAGAGCTGCTGTCTCAGATAATACAGAGCTTGAAGTTCAGATCAGATAATTATACCTGACTCATTTCATAAGATATTATCAGCTGCAGCTGCAGAGTCTCTTATCAAGAATATCTTCAATCTCTCATTCAAGTTCATTATCTTCTTCTATGATCTCTAGCAGCTGTCAGTCAGAAGTCAGTTGAGAAGAGAATGAATCAGTGATAACACAGTAAAACAAGCTTATATAAAACACATTATGTATCTCTGATGATGTGTCAAGATAATAGTTGTAGCTGTCTAAAACTTCTATCACTTTATACTTGACATGGTGATAATTCAGTGTATGAGATGAGTGTGTGATTTATATATTCTTAAGATTCAATCATATCAGGTCTTCTATCTTATATTGCTCAGCAGAGTCTTAGTGAACATTGATTCAGTTCTCTTGATCTTGTTTATCACTTATCATAAAGGCTTCTGCTCAGTTGTGAGCATCTCAGAGCTTCATTACTATATTATCAGCAATCTGAATCAGACTGCAGAGGTTCAGTGTGAACTGTGTGATCTCTAGAAGATTTAACACTTTCATGTAATAACTGTGTGTAAGAAAGAATGAACTTACATCTGTTAAGACAGTATCTCAGTCATTGATAGCAATCTCTGTGTGTAGAAGAAGATTATGTCAATCATCTTATAGATGATTGCAGAACTTATAAAGATAATTCTTTACAGTCTGAATTATCTATTCTGATACATCATCAGTCTCAGAGCGATAGACAGTTAATAAACAGTGTATAATCTTGAGAACTTGACAGATTCTTATTCAAAGAGTGCTCATAAATTATCAGTCTTGATCTGATACTATAGATCTCAGTAATTCATATATTCAATAGAACAGACTCTGTAGAAAGACTTCAGTGACTTGTTCAGTGTCTATCTTATTATAAGATTTTAATATTATATTTTTACTCAATCAGTCAATGATGATCAGAATGTTCTTATAACTCTTACTCTCAGAGAGATCAACAGTGAAGTTAATTACTATATCTTATCAGATTCTATCAGAAATATTAAGTGATTTCAGCAGGCCTTTTCTACAGTTCTTTCATAAGATGATGAAAGAATAATAGTTGCAGTTTCAGACAAAGCATCTGATGCTGTTCAATATCTCAGATTAGTAGAATTCTCAAGAGATTATTCAATACAGTTGTTCACAATCTGAATAACTGATCATATATAAATTATGCATCTCTTGCATTATCTAAATGTGTAGAGATTCAGAATAAGAGACTCAGCATTATTCACAGAATCACAGAGTGTTATTATTATCAATTGAGTATTCTGAGATGTCAGTTCTTATACATAGTTCTGAGAGGAATCAGAGTACTTCTTGATATACTGCTTCAGTGAGTGCTTGAAGAAGTCTGTCAGTTTGAACTGTTATATGTTATAATTCATTCAGTGTAGGTTCAGAAGAAGTTGAGATATCAGTATCAGTTTGAAGAGAGAATGTTCTAATCAGAGAAGCATGTATAGTGTCATAAGTAATCTCATTATAATTAACTAGTATTTTCAGATCTAACAGTCAGTGCTCTCAGTTCTTTCAGTGAGTGTCTGTTATATTGAATGACATATCTTACTCTCATTATGAGAGAGTATCTGTCATTGAGTTCTGACTGCTGAGGCAGTAGTGTATCATGAAATAAAAACAGCTTAATAGCTCAGATCATTGCATCTGTCATTCAGTAAGCTTACAGATGATAGTAAAGTGTTTGAGATTCTTATAATCTGTGATTATCTCAAATTTGAAGACACTTCAGAGCTCAGAGTCTTATTCATCTAGACAGTATACTATTGTGAGAAGTTTCTTATCATAGATCTCATAGTTGCATTCAGCAAGGTTCAACTTCTTAGATATTAAGACACATAATTATAAGACATCTTCATCATTATATTATAATATAGCTTTCTCTGTAACATAGTCAGAGAAGTCAGCTTCAATAACTGTTTCACAGTCAGAGTCAAATGTTATTAGTAGAGATGTATTAATGAATATCTTCTTCATCTGTGTAAATACAGCATCAGTGTTCACTGATTATTGAAATACTGAGTCTTTCTTAGTGAGTTCTGTAAGTGATCTCACAATATCTGAGAAGTTGTATATAAATCACTGATAGAAGTTAGCAAATCTGATGAAGCTTTATATATCTTTCACTGTGCACAGAGCTTCTCATTCAAGAATAACAGAGATCTTCTCAGAATTCATTCAGATTTTCTTACCAGCTTCTATAATAAAGCCTAGATATTTTGTACTTTTAACTTTAAAATCACACTTGTCTATGTTTATTGATAGTTCTGCTTCTCATAGTCATTGTAATACTCTTCACACATGTTCTTAATGTTCTTTTCTGAACTCATCAGTGAAGATGAGAATATCATTGAGGTATATAGATACAAATTCATTAAGAAAGACTCAGAGTGCTCAGTTAATATACTTCTGAAATGTACTGAGAGTGTTAGTCAGTCTGAAAGATGTGACTATTTATTTAAAGAGATTATATTATGTTTGAAATGCTGTAAGTCACTCATCTTCTTCAGTAATACAGATCTTATGAAACACAGTGATGACATCTAGCTTTGTAAATCATTGAGCTTGCTCAATATGAGCTAGAGTTTCATTGATAAGAGATAAAGAGTAACAGTCTTTCTTTGTTAATCTGTTCAGTTCTCAATAGTTCACACAGAATCAGAGTTCTTCATCTGGTTTCTTTGCAAAGAGAATAGAAGCTGTAGCAGAGAAGTTACTAATACATATGAATTCTTTATTCAACAGATCATTGAGTGTCTTTCAAAGAAGAAGAAGTTCATCTCAGAACATGTTATAAAGAAGACCTCATGATAATTCAGAGTTCTTGTCATTCTTCTTTTTCAACTTGATACTGTGATTCACTTCTGAACCTTGTAAGAGAGATAGATTTATAACCTTATTATCTTGTCAGAAGATATCTAGATATTCATGATATTATTGAGAAAGTTTTATATGAGAATCTGTTATTGTAGTATAAAATAACTTCTCTAGAGCTTTCTTAATATCAGTCAGACTGATAAAATAGATTGCTATATAATTCTGCTATCAGTGACTTTGTCAGTAATCTTATCAATGACTTCTTTTTCAGAGTAATTCATAAGTGATGACAGAGATCTGTATAAGATTCATAGTCTTGTAAATATCATCTTCATGAATTCTATCATTGTTAGAGAATATTAAGCTTCTGTTTTGAGTATTCAATAAGATACCTTGTTCAGATAGTCAGACAAGTTCTAGCATAAGATTATAGTCAAGATTATTGACTTCATATATATAAGCATCTTCACATTGATGTTCTCTGACATCTATATTTAGTTTCATCATGTGACAGATGTGAATGTCTTTTGAATCATCAAATTCTGCAAGAAGTCAGAGTTTTAATAAGAGAATACACTGAAGGTTATAATATCTTACAACTGAAGATTTAATCATTACATAATAACATAGATTACTGTCTATCATGGCTTTCATATTATACATGTTATCTATCACAGTAGATATAAGAATTGCATTCATTGTCATTTTCTCTTTAAATTATCATCATTTAACCTCTTCAAGCTTCTGCTTGCAAATTTGAACAGAAGCTAATCTTTTCCCTGTTTTATCAGAGCATTCTCATAGTTATCTTCTGAATCTTTCTCTAATGTGATGTGATTGACATGAACAGATGCTGATTCATTC